GTTTTTTTACCATCCCTAAATGTCATATGTGGGAACATATTCAATAATTGTCTAATGTTAAAGAAATTGGTGAAGAAATTGTCTCTATTTATTTAACAATCTGGTTTAGTGGTGTATGAAAAATTATGATTAAAATATTTTATAAGACTTTGTAAAATATTTAATACTATTGTACTCTGTTACGGTATGAGAAAGCATAAACAACTTTAGACTATTTTAGTTACTATTAGTAGTGTGATATATAGTTTATTACATATTTAAGCAGAAAATATCAATAGAAAAATAGTAATAAAGTTATAATTGTAATATAACAAAATATTTAATGATATAAAAAATATATTTATTTATATTTAAAAATATTATAAAAAATAATTTAGATTTTATAATTGTTTAATAAATTCTATTGCTTCTTGTAAATCTTTATCTATAGTAATATTATCATTATTATTATTATTGTTATTATATCACTATCATCATCACTATTATCATCACTATCATTATCATTATTATAATTATCATCTAATTCTGGTTCTAAATCTTCATCTAAATCATCTTCAGTTAATTTATCATTATCATTTTTTTCTAATCTTTTTATAAAAGAATTAATATTTGAAAAAATTCCTTTTTTGTAATATTGTAAACAATAATCACATGTTGAATGCATTTTTTCATAACAATCTATATGATAAGCATGTCCACAAATATATACTTTTCCATTTAATTTACTAAATATTTTGTTACATTTATTACATATATTTTTTGTTGGTTTTTTTGATGTAAGATATCCTGTTGGTAGACATTTAGCTTCTACATCTTTATTTAATCCTGCTATATAATACTTAGATTGATTTTGTATTTTTTTATTATTATTAAGATTAAGATAAACTTTTTGAAAATGTTTTAACAAAAATAAACTACTTCTTTTTGTTAAATAATCTAATTGTTTAGAATTATATATATAAGATTTTGTTGATTTAAAAATATCAAGTTTAAATTTGTTATGATAATAATCTAATATATATGCTTGTTGCTTAATTTCTTTAATAGTACTATGTGAATTAATATTAGCTCGAAGATGACTATGCATATTTTCTACAAAATAATCATTAAAATTTACTAAAGAATTAGATAATACTTTAGCAAATGGATGATTAATATCACTCCAATAAAAATAATCAGATAAAAATACTAATGGTGCTTTGTTATAATTTTTTCTTTCCCATCTTAGTGCAAATGTCCATAATCTAAATATAGTTTCAATATATTGATCAAATGAACCTGATCTAAAAAGTATTGCATAAATATCTAATGTTGAAGGTATTAAATTATCTAAAATATCTAAAAGCATTCGATATTCTATATCTTTATATATAATATCAAATTTAGCTAAAATTATATGAGCTATAGCTTTCTAGCCTTCATGTACTAACTCTAATATTAAATTTATTCTCCATGGTCTTGGTTTTTTAGCTAATTTCTTTTTTTCACCAAAAACAAAATAAAAAAATTGTTCAAAAAAAGAATAATGAACAAGAAATAATGTTTGACGAAAATTTAAAGAAACATGAAGTGGACCTAAAATTGGAATAAAATTTTTAATATTATCTGGAATTAAATTTGAATTTAATTTATGCTGTGTAATTATTTTTCTAATAAATAATTGTCCTGGCCAATCTGCTATAACTGGAATTATAATATTGTGATAATGAATTAATATTAGTAATCATTTTAAGAGCTTTTAAATAATCACTTATTGAATGTAATTGTTGTTTTTTAACTTTAACAACTCTTATACTTTTCATTGATCTTTCTTCTTTACACTCTTTAATTGCATTATCATATATATGTAAAGTTAATAAATCTATACGATTTTGAGAATTAAGTTGAAAAGTGTTTTGAGAAATCTATTCCATTTTATATTCATTATAACTTTTATCAAAACATCCATTATATTTAGACATTAAATTAATTATTATTCTAGTTGGTTCAATATTTTCAGGATTAAAAAATGAATATCCATTTGAAATTGCTAAAACTGGTTGTTGGTTTTTAACTAATTTAGTTACACATGTTGCTAAATGATTTGCAGATGAAAGTGTTGTATTATTAGGTTGACGTAATTCATGAATATCATGAAAATCATCAATATTAAAACAATAAAACATATTTAACTAAAAAATAATATATTATTAATTAATTTATATAAAAATAATAATAATAAATAAGAATTTACTTATATGAGAAGTAAAATATTCATTAATTTTTGTTGTGTGATTATTTTTAATTTTTTCTTTAAAATTATATAATGTTTTTGAACTTATTGTTATTCCTGCTCTCATAAGAAAATCTATTCCAGTTGAACTTAAACCACAAGATGATAAATATAAACTAAGATTAGTTTTATATTTATTTATATTTTGATTACGTAATCCTGCTAAAAGATAATATTGACTAATGATTTTTTGTTGTGCCTTTTTTTTATTTTTTTCAGTTCTTCTTTTAGGTACTAATGCATTAGTCATTTCATCTAAAAATCCAATTAATTGAGATTCTTCTGTTTCAATTAGTTGTTTAAAGCAATCAGAATCTAATAAATAATCATTATTTTTATCTTCATATTTATATAAAGTTTTTGTTAATAATTGTAATTGAGTAGAAAATGATTTTTGTTGTGCTATAAAATAAATAAATTAAATTATAAATTTATAATATTATTTTAAAAATTATTTAAATTTTTTTAAATAATAATAATAAACTTACAAATTTGATTTGTTTGATTAATAATTATATCAATTAATTTGTTGAAATTTTTTTTGCTAAAAATTATATCATTTTCAACAATTTTTATCTTTATATTTGAAAAATTATTTAAATCTAAATCTATAAAATCATTTTCTTTATAATTTTGTAAATAATCAATTGGCATATTAGAATTATTTAAACTAATTTTACTTATTTCAATTAAATCTCCTAAATCTACCCAAGTTTTAGATTTCTCATTATTAGATGATTGACTTGCAATAAAATTAACAATATTCATATAATGTTCAAAACAGATTTGATCTT